GGATTCCCCCACCAGAGGAAACAGTTTCTCTACAGCTACCCTATAAAACACATCAGAGATGCAGAGAGAGAGAGACACAGACAGCGAGAGGAAAACCAAGAGAGATGGAGAAACAGACAGACAGAGTGACATAGAGAGACTTGGGGGTGTCAGGGGATGGAGGGAAATACAGAGAGGGGAGAGCGATCACTGGGGAGGGGAGCTAACTCTCACCTGATGGAATCGTCATGTTCAGTATCTGGAAGGACGAGGTGGAACCTTTTATCTTGAAAACATAACAATATATTCCAGAATCGCTGTGTTGAAGTTTCCTGATGTTTAAGCTTCTGAGATCCAGAGAGTGACGGTTGTCATTTATAATCACATTCCTATCGTGTGTCCACTGTACCTCGATTCTCCCCAAAGTGATAGAGCCGTTTGTGTGAGAGAGAGAGAGAGAGAGAGAAAGAAAGAAAGAAAGAAAGAAAGAAAGAAAGAAAGAAAGAAAGAAAGAAAAACTGATAGAGAGAGAGATTGTGAGAAAGAATGAAAGAGAATCGGAGACAGAGAGAGACAGAGATAAAAAGAGGGAGAGAGATACAACAACAACAAGAAGATTCCATTTATTGAGCGCCTTTCACGTCGGGAGGACGTCCCAAGGCGCTGTACAGTTGGATCAGGACCCGAGCATTGGGGGGAAATGGTCAGGGTGGGGGTAGGGAAGGGAGCGAGCGAGGAGGGGGGGAGATGGTCAGGGTGAGGGGAGGGAAGGGAGGGAGCGAGGAGGGGGTGGAGAGCCGAGAGTGGAGCTGAAGGTACGGTCAAAGAGAAAGGCCTTGAGACCGGCCTTGAAGGAGGAAAGGGAGGAAGCGGCGAAGGCACTGGAGATGGAGTTCCAGAGCCTCGGGGCTGAGAGGCTGAAGGCCACCGATGGTCGGGCGGTTGGGGCGGGGGATGTGGAGCAGACCGGAGCCAGAGGGACGGAGGGTACGGGCAGGTAGGTAGGGGATACACACGTACAGTAATCAGTCAGGTCTGTGCATTAACTCACCGTTAAACAGCGTCAACTGCTTCCTCCCTTTCCTCCTTCAAGGCCGGTCTCAAGACCTTTCTCTTCGACCGTGCCTTCAGCTCCACTCTCGACTCTCTACCCCCTCCTCGCTCCCTCCCTTCCCTCACCCCACCCTGACCATCTCCCCCCTGCTCGGGTCCTGACCCAACTGTCCAGCGCTTTGGAACGTCCTCCCGATGTGAAAGGCGCTCTATAAATGAAATCTTGTTGTTGTTGTTCACGGGATACACTGTAAAGTGTAGAGACTATGTGTTACGCGGCAGCCCATTTGAGCACAGTGACAACCCCACAAACAGCCGTAAAGAGAGAGAGACATTTTATCTGTCGGACAGGACTTCTCCTTTCTCTGACAGAGCAATTGATCTTTATCTTCCAACGCACAGACGGGGAATGGGTGAGGTTTAATGTCTCTGACAATGCGGCGCTCTCTCTCTGTCTCTCTCTCTCTCTCTCTCTCAGTCTCCCTCCTCTCTCTCTCTCTTTGTCTCTCTCTCTCTCTCCCCCCAGCGCTGTGCTGCAGTGTTAGCCTGGACTGTGAGCTCAAAGCCCCTCCTACGCGTGTGTGTGCGTGTGGTATTGAACCCACAACCTTCCGACTCAGAGGTGAGAGTGCTTGTGATCGACTGATCCAGGGTAAATATTTAGCACATCACATGGCACAAATTGGCAGCTTGTGCTAAGCAGCACAACACACAGCACAGGTTCGGCCCTGGGGTGAAAGGCAGAGAGAGGAGAGGTGAGGCGTGTGGACACGGACCTGGAGTCAGGAGAGAGAGAGGCACGAACATCCAGCAGAGTGATATGACGGAGTGACTGAGCCCGACTCTGGGCAGGACACGGCCTCTGTCCATCCCAGGTCCACAGCCTGACCCACACTATTCCTGTACCGTGTGTGTCCCTGACCCCACAGCCACAGAGACCAGAGAGAAACACTCCCTCAGACAGAGAGAGACACAGGGACTGAGATACAGAGACTGTGACACAGAGAGACACAGGGACTGAGATACAGAGGGACTGAGGCACAGAGAGATACAGAGACACAGAGCCTGAGACACAGAAGGACAGAGTTGACCACTGGTGAACAGCGCTCACACCAGGAAATGAGAAGCCTCAGAGTTGTGACCTGAACAGGTTCGGGGGCCAATGGGAGACCAGAAAAACATTTCACAATGTGGTTTCTGTCACTTTCCTGTTGCAAAATTACCTTTTTTTTCTCTCTGAAGTAATTATTTTCTGCCCTTTCTCTCTCCTTCCCACTCGTTCGCCTGCTTTGTCCTGGAGTCTCCATCCATCTCCCTCTCACCCCTCAATCTACCCTCTCACTCCCCAAGTCTCTGTCCATCTCCCCATCACCCCTCAATCCATCCTCACACTCCCGATAAGGGAATAAGGGGGTTGATTGATGTTTGAGAGGAGATAGATAGAGACTTGGGAGAGTAAAGGGATGGATTGCGTAGTTCCTGGGTTTATATCCCTTCCCTTTTTTGTACAGGGATGTAGAGAGAGTGAGGGAGCGAAGCAGACAGTGGAAAGGAGAGGGAGGGGAGAGAAGGAGAGGGGAATGAAGGAGAGAGGGAGCGGAGAGATGGAGAGAGGAAGGGGAGAGAAGGAGGAAGAAGGAGGAAAAAGAGAAGGAGAGAGAGGGAGGAGAGAGAGAGGAGAGAGAAGGAAAGTGAAAGAGAGGCGAGAGAAAAATAGAAGAGAAAGTGAGACAGAGAAAAGGAGAGAAAGAAAAAAGAAGAGAGGAGAGAAAAGGAGAGAGAAAGGAGAAAGAGGAGAGAGTGAGAGAGAAAGGAAAGAGAGTGAAAGTAAGAGGAAACATGGAGGGAGACGGAGGGAGAGAGAGAGAGAGATAAAAGGGAGAGAGAGAAGAGAGAGAGAAGAGAGTGAGGGTTGAAAGAGAAGTGAGAGAGAGAGAGAGAGAGAGTGAGGAGAGAGTGAAGGGAGAGATGTCAAATTGCGTTTGTCCGGATATCATTGAAATGTTTTATTGGTGATTATAAAACCGCACAAGGATCAGCTTCACATTACACCCGACACGTCATCATTACTCCTCGCGCTTAACTGACAACTGAAGCTCTATCTTAACAATATCCACTCAATACTAAAATCCTAAACATATCAAAAGGACCGATGTGATATCTGAGATGTGCTGAATCATCTCTAACTGTTGTGTATGTACGTTGGGTGCGTGTTTTGGTCAGTGGGAGAGACACTGCCCAGTGGGCAGGAAATCGTGACCAAGGTCTAAGGCTGGGACAGAGGTTAATCACTGGCTCTGGTGCGCTTCTGGCTGTGAATGTCTCTGGCTCGTCTCTTTGTGGTCCACTCCGGCGAGAGCTGGACTTGTCCTCTTTCCCTCAAAGCCGCTCCTCTTCCTCTCTGTAGAGGTCCGTCCCCTTCCTCTCCTCAGAGGCTCGAATTCGTCTAAGCTTTGGCTACCGTTCCTTATACCCTTTCTCGCCAGCCATCTGTGTTCTATCTCCTTTCTTCCCATTGCTTCTTTCCCACTCTCTGCCCTTTCCCGGGCATTCTTTCCCTGTCTTCACGTTGTTTCTCCTTGTACCAGCGAGTGGTATCTTCTGCAAAAGAACAATCCTCCTCCTATTCCATCTTATCCAGTCCGACCAAACCCCCTGACTCCATGTCCCTGAAGTTTCTGTCCTTCTTTCTAACTCTGTCCATGTGACCTCCTGACTTTAAGCTTTTCCTCAGTTTGAATTGCTCATTTTGTATCCCTGCCACACAGTTGCCTCCCAACCATTCTCCAGGTCCAATTAGCCCAGGTTCCTGTCTCTCTTGCCCGTAGGTCACTTGCCCTTGTAAGCGCAGATGGCCTCCCATCCATCCGCCCGATCCAGCTATTCTTATCTTCCCTGACCATGGGTCGCAATCCAGTGTACTCCTGCCGAGCTCAGCGTCTCTTACTAGGACTGTGGAGGTGGGTGTCGGTGTGTGTGGGTGCTGCTGTGGGTGTTGGTGTGTGTGTGGGTGTTGGTGTGTGGGTGGGTGTCGGTGTTGGGGTGTTGGTGTGCGTGGGAGCTGGTGTGGGTGGGTGTCGGTGTGGGTGGGAGTCGGTGTTGGGGGAGTTGGTGTGTGTGAGGTTGTGTGTGGGTGTTGGTGAGGGTGGGTGTTGGGTGTGGGTGGGTGTCAGTGTGTGTGGGTGTTGGTGTGTGTGTGGCTGTCGCTGTGTGTGGGTGGGTGTTGGTGTGTGTGGGTGCTGGTGTGTGTGTGGGTGCTGGTGTGTGAGTGGGTGTGTGTGGGTGTTGGTGTGTGTGTGGGTGTTGGTGTGGGTGTTGGTGTGTGTGTGGGTGCTGGTGTGTGTGGGTGCTGGTGTGTGGGTGTTGGTGTGTGTGTGGATGCTGGTGTGTTTGGGTGCTGGTGTGTGTGTGGGTGTGTGTGGGTGTTGGTGTGTGTGTGGGTGTTGGTGTGTGTGTGGGTGCTGGTGTGTGTGGGTGCTGGTGTGTGGGTGTTGGTGTGTGTGTGGGTGCTGGTGTGTTTGGGTGCTGGTGTGTGAGTGTGTGTGTGTGTGGGTGTTGCTGTGTGTGGGTGTTGGTATGTGTGGGTGGTTGTCGGTGTGTGTGTGGGTGCTGGTGTGTGGGTGGTTGTCGGTGTGTGAGTGGGTGGGTGTGTGTGGGTGGGTGTTGGTGTGGTGTGTGTGTGTGGGTGTGTTTGGGGGTGGGGGGGGAGCAGACGAAAGGGAAGGACCAAGGGCGGGAATTGGGAGGAGTCAAATCGTGATTGATTGACAAGCCTGGAGCTGCTTGTGATTGGGTGGAACGTCCGTCCAATCACAAGTGGCTCCACAAGTGGCTGTGAATTGCTCCCGTTTCCCCTCCAATGGCTCTGAAGGGCTTCAACTGTATCTGTGAAAGTGCAACAAGGAAGCGCTTTGTGTGTTGATGTGTTTTTGTGGCGGACAACACACTTTGGGGAATTGAAGGGTAACTCAGATGCCCTGATCTCGATCGCTGGAGGCGACCGAGGGAGGGTTCCTCAGGGTATCCAGAGGGATTGAGCTCTGTGTGGCTCCATTGTCCTGTGTGGGTTTAGAGACAAGAGAAAAGAGGGTTAGAGCCTAACATCCTCCACTGTTGTCCTCTCTGTAATGGGGAGAGACAAGAGTTGGTCATTGTGTCCGCCTGCGTTTGAAATCCCTATCTATCTCCATCTCTCACCCCAATCCATCCCCTGACTCATCAAGTCTTTATCCATCTTTCTCTCACACCTCAATCCATTCCCCAACTCCCCCAATTCTCCATCCATTTCCAACCTCAATCCAGTGAACCTCCACTGTCCCCTCTCCCTGGCTCTGATGGTGGCTGTAATGGGGAGAGATCAGGAGCTGAACACAGTCCTCTCTCTCTCTATCTGTGTCCTAACCAATGTCCTGAACCAATTTGTGGTGACTCAATGTTCTTACCTGAGTCTCAGCCTGTCCAGGCGAGCTGTCAGCTCCGGCTATCAATAACACAGAGAGAGGGTGGATTAGACATTGGCAAACACATCAAGTCCCTCCATCTCACCCTTACATCCCTCCAGAGTCTCGTCCCCACCCTACCTCTGTGATCTCCACACACCCTCCCGACCTGCCCGCTCCCCCCACTCAGCGAACACCCGCCTACATGATGTCCCTCACCCCTGCCCTGCCCATCCCACCCATGGTAGGTGGGCTTTCAGCATCTGCAACCCAAAACTTAAAACCCTTCTTCTCACCCCCTCCCCCTCCCAACGTCCCTCCTCCTCACACCCTACATTCCCTGACTGCCCAAAATCTCTATCCATCTCTCTCTCACACCTCAATCCATGCTCTGACTTCCCCAACTCTTTATCCATCCCTTGTCGCACCTCAATGCATCCCCCAACACCCTCCAGTTTGCTCCCTCTCTCCCCTCTAGGAGTCCCTTCTCCTCGCCCATTCCCTTCCCAGAGTTGATCTGAAGACCTTCCTGTTTGATCAGGGTTAAGGCCATGTCTCCCATCATTGTGAATTGTGTACCAGTCACTACACCCTGTGCCCACCCACCTGGCTCCCTGTAACGTCTCTTGAACAGCATAAAAATCCCAAAGGTGAAGATGATCATCAAAGTCACAAGAGAAGCTGTCCGTATCCCGAGATTGTGCCAATGGTTCAACCCTACAAACACGGAGACAAAACACAGTCATACACCACAGAACACAGCAAATATAAACTACACAGATGGTTATCATTATTTGTTGCCCAACCGGGTGTCTGACACGCGCGGAAACCCATCACCGTTGCTTAAGAGTCTCCAAACCAAGCTGAGAACTCCACGCCTCCCACCTACACATGGAAACTCCCAGAGAGAGATTGTTGGAATGGAATGTCACTATCTCTCTCCCTGGAGGGACACACTCTGCTTATCTAATTCCAGAGAGTATTAGGCGCAGGTTGGCGAGAGCCAAGGCTTGGGGGGGGGAGCCCAGAGTGTGCGTTGGGGTAACTGCTGGAGTCTAACCAGCTAAACCCACACAAAGCTTGGCCATTGAGAGCGCTGTCTGGCCCAGCTTTCCCACTGCTTGTCCAGCGAGGACCACCCTCCCCGTTAGTTATGGCTTTGGCTGAAGGGTTACCAGGAGCTGAGTGAGAGGATTGGATGGTTCTGGGCTTTACACAGTACCCAATCAGGTCTAAACATAGGGACTTCAGTCAAGAACAGTGAGGTGCAGATCTGACTGACTCCCATCTCCCTCCTGTTCTCCCAGGGATACGTAACTGATCAATAATTAATTCTCTGATAATCCGATTGCTCTTATTATCGTGTCTTACGGTCCTGGGTCTTTGCTCTGTGTATAATCATTGAATGTGGAACTATAACAAAGGAAAGGATACATGGAGTTTGTTTGATTTCAAAGCTCTTTTCAAAGAGCCGGCACAGACACGATGGGCCGAATGGCCTCCTTCTGGGCTGTATAATTCTATTATTTTATGATTCTATGATGTTGGCCAGGATGCTGGATGAGAGAGAGAAATTCCCTTCCCCCCTTTTCTGCTTCAAAACAACAGCAAATGACATTTACACAGAGCATTTCACGTGAGGAAAGGCTTTCCTCTGTGTGTTGGGGACCCAGTGGAGTCGAGCGAGAATGGAGGTGGTGGAGTCACAGAGCCTGGGGTGCGGGAGAGGACACGAGCTGCAGATTTCTGGATGATCTGCAGCGTGTGGAGGGAAGAGTCGGGAGTACCAGAACTTTACAGATTGTTAATTATTATCATCATTAATATCTTACCTCCTGAGTCTGTGCCCATCCCCTTTGTAGTTGGGGGAATGATTGAGATATCTAAAGAAAAGAAAATTGGAAAGTTGTCCGTTGATCAAAGCATGTTCCTCTCAAACAGTGGATCAGCCTCAATGCTCTCCACTGCAAACTCAATCTCAATCTGTCACCTCTCACACCTCAATCCTTCCCCTGACTCCCCCAATGCTCTATCCAACTCCGTCTTGGACATAGATAGATGAATGGCTGGATGGATGAATAGAAATTGCGATAGGATTACAGGAACATAGGAACAGTAAGAAGCCATTCAGCCCCTCAAGCCTGTTCCGCCATTCAATAAGATGATGGCTGATCTGTACCTCAACACCACGTAGTCACCTTTACCCCATATCCCTTGATCCCCTGACCTCACAACCATCTCTCCACCTCAGTCTGGATAGTGTGAATGGATCCACAGCCATAAACCACAGTATTTTGGGGGAGAGAGAGAGTCCTAGAATTCCACTCCCCTTTTGGTGAAAAACTGCCCCTGCCCCTAAATGGCCTTGTCTCTGATTTATAATAATAATAATAATAATAATCCTTGCATTTGATACAGCGACTTATCATGTCTTCGAGATGTCTCAAAGCGCTTTACAGAATATACTGTAAAGTAAATTGACTGTATATTTGTGGGCGAACGTGGCAGTCAATTGCGCACAGTGGTGTCCAAACAGTCATGGATTGAGTGACCACATTATTATTACTATTTTATTTTGACGGGATTATAACCCCCAGAATGTGATCCTCCAATCGACTGACAAGTGGGTTCCTACATACCGCGAGGTAAACAGCGGTGTGTGGAGTAAGGAAACTTGCCCAACGTTTCCCCATGCCCAGGAATCAAAGCCAGGCCCTCTCGCTTTCCAGCGCTCTAACCGATATACTCCAGGACTTTTAGGGGTGATGCCTCCCTTGTTCTGGATTCCCCCTCCCACCAGAGGAAATAGTTTCTCTGTCGCTACCCTATCAAAACGCTTTATCATTTTAAACACCTCAGAGATGCAGAGAGTGCGACACAGAGATAGAGGGAGAAAGACAGAGAGACCAGAGAAGGAGAGAGAGAGAGAGAGAGAGAGAGAGGGATGGAGAACCAGACAGAAAGGGGAGAGAGAGAGACAGAGAGAGAGAGACAGAGTGGGGAGATTGATCACTAACTCTCACCTGATGGAATCGTCATGTTCAGTATCTGGAAGGAAGAGGTGGAACATTTTATCTTGAAAACATAACAATATATTCCAGAATCGCTGTGTTGAAGTTTCCTGATGTTTAAGCTTCTGAGATCCAGAGAGTGACGGTTGTAATTTATAATCACATTCCCATCGTGTGTCCACTGCGCCTCAATTCTCCCCAAAGTGATAGAGCCGTTTGTGTGTATTGTGGGTTTGGGGTTAGAATAAACACGTTGAGCGATGTGACAGGTCAGAGCCAGTCTGCCCCCCGGGGTCAGAGAGCTATCGGCAGACACAGACACTGCGGAGAGACAGGAGACAGACGCAGAGACACAACAGTCAATACCGTTAACTAAAACATATTCCCGTAGCACTCACAGCAGCAACAGTCACTGACTTCCGTTTGACTGTATCTGCCACCGGTCTGTCCAACTCACTGCAATGTAATGGGTACTTTTGAGAGAGAGAGACTGTGAGAGTGACTGAAAGAGAGAAAGAAATAGAGAGAAACAGATCTCAGATCTCAAAACAGAATACAGACATATTGAGATAGACCGAGAGAGAAGGATCCAGAGAGAGAGAGAGACAAAGAAAGGAAGGAAGGAAGAAAGAAAGAACCAAATGACGGAGAGACTGAAACTAATAGAGGGAAATAGAGAGACTGTGAGAGTGAATCAATGCAAGAAAGAGACTGAGAGACTCAGAGACAGAGAAGAGAGAGAGAAAGAGATGGAGAGAGATACACATGTACAGAGATCAGTCAGGTCTGTGCAGTAACTCACCGTTAAACACTGTCAGGTGGACGATGGATCTGTACACCATCTCTTGTTGATTATAAACAGCACAGTGATACTCCCCAGCCTGGCTCAGTGTGGGTGTGAGGAACAGGGAGACATTCCCTGTCTGCAAAGCGTTGGAGTCAGCCACTGACACCCCCTTGTGATGGGGGGGTCACACTCAGTGTTGGCTCTGATCACACACACTCTCTGTGAGTTTCTCCTTGAGGGTGAGTACCAATCCCAAACAGCGTCTGTGAATTGTGTCCCAGCCTCAGGAGAGCACGGCAGTAAGACAGCGCTGGAGCCGTTAGACACCACATAACTCTCGCTCTCAGCACTTCCCACAGAGCCTTCACACAGGAGATAAACGTGAGAGAGACTGAGACACATTCCTCACCCAACACACAGCACACGGCGCAAACTCCACATCTTGTGATAATTAGCACATCACACAGCATGTATTCTGTAGCGTATTTTCCCTTTTGACCATACCTTTGGTCACCCTCCTACCCCCACCCTCCCTGCCCTCCACCCCTCCTGATCCCAACCCCCGGCTCCGGTGCAAACCCCTCATTGTCCAGCGCCCTGGGACGTCCTCCTGACGTGAAAGTCACTGTGTAAATGCAATGTGTAGTTGTCGCTGTTGACTATTAAGGGAGACAGAAGTCAGGCCTCTCATGTCCTGTGTAACAGGAAGTGCCATCACTGGGCTGATCAACAGACTGATGGTGAGAGAGGTCTCTCTCTCCACTCCACACTCAAAGCCAAACCAGGAAGCAAAAAGGAGACTGAAACGATACCAATAGCTGACTTTCACACAGCGCCTTTCACGTCTCAAAGCGCTTTACGGGATACCATGGAAAGTGTAGTGACTGTGCGTTACGCGGCAGCCCATTTGAGCACAGTGACAACCCCACAAACAGCCGTGAAGAGAGAGAGACATTTCATCTGTCGGACAGGACACCGAGAGAGAGAGAGAGAGAGAGAGAGAGAAATTTACTTCCCTTTTCTCAAAGAGAGATCTTTAATGTCCGCCCTGAACAAGGCACAGACGGGGAATGAGTGAGGTTTAATGTCTCTGACAATGCGGCGCTCTCTCTCTCTCTCTCTCTGTCCCTCTCTCTCCCCCCAGTGCTGTGCTGGAGTGTTAGCCTGGACTGTGAGCTCAAAGCCCCCACTACGTGTGGTATTGAACGTGTGATCGACTGATCCAGGGTAAATATTTAGCACATCACACGGCACAAATTGGCAGCTTGTGCTAAGCAGCACAACACACAGCACAGGTTAGGCCCTGGGGTGAAAGGCAGAGAGAGGAGAGGTGAGGTGTGTGGACACGTACCTGGAGTCAGGAGAGAGAGAGGCACGAACATCCAGCAGAGTGATATGACGGAGTGACTGAGCCCGACTCTGGGCAGGACACGGCCTCTGTCCATCCCAGGTCCACAGCCTGACCCACACTATTCCTGTACCGTGTGTGTCCCTGACCCCACAGCCACAGAGACCAGAGAGAAACACTCCCTCAGACAGAGAGACACAGGGACTGAGATACAGAGACTGTGACACAGAGAGACACAGGGACTGAGATACAGAGGGACTGAGGCACAGAGAGACACAGGGACTGAGATACAGAGACTGTGACACAGAGAGACACAGGGACTGAGATACAGAGACTGAGAGACAGAGAGTCTGAGACACAGAGAGAGATACAGAGAGACAGAGAGATTGAGGCTCAGGGAGACAGAGACAAGCCACAGAGAGTCACAGGGACACGTCTGAGACACAGAGGGACAGAGTTGACCACTGGTGAACAGCGCTCACACCAGGAAATGAGAAGACTCAGAGTTGTGACCTGAACAGGTTCGGGGCCAATGGGAGACCAGAAAAACATTTCACAATGTGTTTTCTGTCACTTTCCTGTTGCAAAATTGCCTTTTTTTTCTCTCTGAAGTAATTATTTTCCGCCCTTTCTCTCTCCTTCCCTCTCGTTCGCCTGCTTTATCCTGGAGTCTCCATCCAACTCCCTCTCACCCCTCAATCCATAGAATCTTAGAATCGTGCAGCGCAGATGGAGGCCATTCAGCCCATGAAACCAGTAGAATTCTCCCGCTGTTACCCCTGCAAATAGTCCTGCAAATTTTTCCTTTTTAAGTAAACATCCGTTTCCCTTTTGACGGCTATTATCGGATCTGCCTCCGTCCCCCTTTCGGGCTGTGCGTTCCAGACCGTATACAAAAGGTGGTATACTTTTTAGAGTAAGAGTTGGAGTGCTGTAAATAGTGGTTAGAGCCCTCGACTCACAAGCGAGAGGACCTGGGTTTGATTCCCGGGCGGGGCGAAACCTCAGGCAAGTTTCCTTGCGCCACGAACACACACAGTCACACACGCCACTGCTTACCTTACAGTAAGTAGGATCCCGGTTGCTAAGTGATTGGTGGATCGCTTTCCGGGGGTAATAATCCCTCACAAAAACCACTCATTTGGTCACTCAATCCAAGACTCTCGCTGCGTGGAATTGGCTGCCGCATTTCGCCCACAAAACACACAGTCGCTACACTTTACGTGATATCCTGTGAAGGCATTGTATCAACTGCAAGGATTATTATTATCATTATTATTGTTATCCTCCTACCCTCCCTGATCTCAACTCGCCCCCCCCACCCACCCCGCAGGCTCACCCTGACTGTTCAGCGCCCTGGGAAGTCCTCCCGATGGGAATAGCACTTTACAAATGTAACTTTGTCTTGTATTAATATAACTATCGCCCCAAACATAATTTGGTCATTCAATCCACGACTGTTTGTGGGGACGTCGCTGTGCGTAAATGGCTGCCGCGTTTCGCCCACAAAACTCCCAAGTCGCTACACTTTACGTTGTATCCCGTGAAGCGCTTTGAGCCGTCTCAAGGACGTGATAAGGCGCCGTATCAAATGCAAGGGTTATTATTTTGAGCCCGCTGACCAAAAATAAAACCTCAACAATGGACCCGCCTCATCTCAATAGGACCCAAGACATCACCTCAATACATCGCACAGCACATGGCCCATCAAGTCTCCTGCACCCTCCACCCTGGACCTGCCTTGCCTCCTCAACCATCAGCAATGGACACGCCTGATTTCTTTAACGGTCAACAATGGATTTGTTTGGTCTCCTCCCACGTCAAGCATGCGCCCATCTCGCTTACTCAACTGCAATCAATGGAATCGCCTCATCCACTCGAATAGCTGCAGCGCCCCCATCGTGTCTCCTCAGAGAAACCTCCTGGATGCACCCTGTCTCCTCAACTATCAGGATTGGAACCGGCTTATCTCCTCCACCCAACGGGCAAGACCGGTGTGGCCTCCGCAAACGTCTTCGAGCGACCCTCCGCACCTTCTCAATCAATACCAATGGTCCAATCTGATCTTGGCCACGTGCAACGACATTCCTTTCTCGTCTCCTCAACCCTCGCCCATTGACCTCCCACCTCACCACACTCAGGTAAGGCGCCCCACAGCTCCACCGGCCAGAACTACAGCCCGTAAGCCATCTGGTCAATCATCCATTATGGACCCACCTTACATCCTCGACCATCAGCAGTGGATGAGCCTCATCTCTGGAAGCTCCAATGAATCGCCAGATCTTCTCACACGAGAGCAATGGAATCATCTCATTTGCTCGACCATGTATTGACCTGCTCCTCGGTGTTCATAGCTGGGAAACAAGGAGCCAAACCACACCATCTCCTAGACGTGTACAACCACAACAACTTTCACTCTCCATCCCGGGGGGGGGGGGGTAGTGTGGAGTGGGGGTGGGGAGATGACCGTAAGCATGATCGAAAAGGATAGTTTTCAGGTGGGACTTGAAAAGGGGGAGAGAGGGAGGGGGAAGGCGGAGGGATTGATCAAGTGTGGTCCAGAGTTGCACATGGACAATGGATATGTCATCTCCTCAACACCCAATGAACTCCCCTGTAGTCACAGCATCTCCTAAACACATCAATAAATGACTTAACCTCTCATCTTATCTCAGGGGCCCCAAACAATGAACTCCTTGATGCCACCACATCGCCTCAACCATCAACAATGGAGTTACCTCGTCAGTTGATGTCTTTCAGCAAAGGGCTTGTCATCAACTTAACACCAACAGTGAACCCCTGAACCAACCTCATCACTTCATCTCCTCAACCAACAATGGAGGCACCTCATCAATCGGGCCACTGATATCATCAACCAGCACAAGGCATCACCTCTTTGCTCCCTTTACAATGGGCTTCACAGTCGAGTGAATGGGAACCCACTGAATATAATGCTTGCGAGTCTAAGATCCAAAGTGAGTGAGTTGCCCACCCTCACTCCACTCCACTGGGTCACCATTCCCCAGAGGATACCGTTCAAAATCCTTGTCCTCACCTTCAAGGCCCTCCATGGTCTTGCCTCTTCCTACCTCTGTGACCTGCTAACCCCTTATCAACCTGTTCACTCCCTCTGCTCAGTGGGCTCTGGCCTGCTCCACGTCGCCCCACCGCCGGGCCCACCCCACCATCAATGATCGGGCCTTCAGCCTCTCTGCCCCCACCCTCTGGAACTCCATTCCACAGTCCCTTCGCCTCGCTCCATCCCTCGCCTCCTTGAACTTGTACAGCGCCTTTCAAGTCAGGAGGATGTCCCGAGGTCCTGGACAGTCAGAGGTTTGGCCCCGAGCTGGGGGTTGGGATCAGGAGGGTGGAGGGCAAGGAGGGTGGGGGTAGGAGGATGACCGAAGGCACGGTTGGTTGAAGAGGAAGGTCTTGAGACAGGCCTTGAAGATGGCGAGGGAGGGGATGAGGCGGAGGGACTGTGGGATGGAGTTCTAGAGGGTGGGGCAGGCGAGTTGGGGGACGTGAAGCAGGCCAGAGCCCGCTGAGCGGAGGGAATGGGCAGGTTGTTAGGGGGTTCGGGTGAGGAGGTCACAGAGGTAGGAAGGCAGATAGGCAGACAGTTTGCGATACTCTCTTAAGACCATGATGTCTGTGTCCGAGAGATGGTGAAGGAGTTGGCAGTCCAGAGTCATGGGGTCAGGTAACTCAGGGGTTACAGCCCTCGCCTCGCAAGCCAGAGGATCTGGGTCCGATTCCCAGGATAGGTCAGGGCAAAATATTGGGCAAGTTTCCTTACTCCATAAAACAGACACAGATACACACACACACACACAGATACACACACACATGATGGCAGATCGCTTTTCCAAGGACAATAATTCCATCAAAAAAAAATGTGGTCACTCAATCCACGACTGTTTGTGGGGACGTCGCTGGGCACAATTGTCTGTCGCATTTCACCCATAAAATATTCAGTCAATTCACATTACAGTGAATCCTGTGAAGCGCTTTGAGACGTTTCGAACACTTGAAAAAGCACTGTATCAAATGCAAGGATTATTATTATTATAATAGGCTTTTGCGGGGGGTCAAAGCTGTGCACTTTGCCAACACAGAACTCTGTCGGTCAGTGTGTATGTAAAATAATGCCTGGCCACAGTGACACTGACACTAACACACAACCAAACCCCTTACAGTCAGACACTCCCGGAAAATAATAATAATCCTTGCATTTGACACAGCGCCTTATCACATCGTCGAGACGTCTCAAAGCGCTTCATAGGATACACTGTAAAGCAAATTCATTGTATTTTTGTGAGCAACACTCAGTAGTGTCCCACAAACAGTTGTGGATTGAGCGACCAAATTATTATTGTTATTATTTTTGAAGCGCTTATTACCCCCCGGAAAAGCGATCCACCAAACGACTAACAACCGGGTTCCTACCCACTGCTGGTAAACAGAGGCGCGTGTGTACAGTCAGACACAACCGACCAACTTGTACAGGCAGGGATTACAGTACAAGTGAACGGCGTGTATAGATGGGTGTCCTACGGCTGATATTTCCCTTTTGTATATCTCCCAGACCTTATTTTATGAGCGGAACCAGTGAACGAGCAGACTTGAGGGCACGTGAGACTGAACAGTGGGGCGTGGGGGATAACAGAAATGGGAAACAACGTAAGATCTCACTACAACAATCACCCCAAACTTTCCATCCACCAGCAACCAGGACGGTCCAAGGAATTCGCCCATTATTTTATTGGTGTCAAAGAGAGAGGGAGAGTGCGTATGGTGTCAGAAATAAAACCATCCATTGCCTGTAACATCAAAAGCATCTCAAATAGCTTCACAGAGTGTTTCTTGTTCAAAATAATAATCCTTGCGTTCGATACAGCGCCTTAGCACATCGTCGAGACGACTCAAAGTGGTTCACAGGATACGCTGTGAAATGGAGTGACTGTGTATTTTGTGGGCGAAACGCGGCAGCCAATTAATTGCACACAGCAGTGTCCCAAAAACAGTCGCGGATCGAGTGACCAAATTATTATTATTTTATTTAGAAGGGATTATTACCCCCCGGAAAAGTGATCCGCCAATCGACTGACAACTGAGTTACTACTTACTGCTGGTAAACAGGCGCGGGTAAAACGTGTGTGTGTGCGGAGCAAGTAGGAGCGTGTGTGCGAAGTAAGTAAACTTGCCGAAGGTTTCACCTCGCGCGGGAGTCGAATGCAAGCGAGAGAGCTGGGCTCGATTCCCAGGCAGGGCAATACGTTGGTCAAGTTTTCTTACTCCACCCAGACACACACACAGACACAGACACCCAGACGCACACACAGACACACACACAGACACGCACACACATACATACATACACAGAAGCCTCTGTTTATCAGCAGTAAGTGGGAACCAGGCTGTTAGTCGATTGGTGGGTCGCTTTTCCGGGGGTAATAATGCCTTCCAAAAAAAATAATAATTTGGTCGCCCCGTCTTTCCCTCTCTCCCTCCCTTCCTCCACCCAATTAGAGATTGGCGACTGGCGAGGAGGGGGGAGACCGGGGAGGAGGGGAGACTGGGAAGGAGGGGAGTCCGGGGAGGAGGGGAGACTGGGGAGGAGGGGAGTCCGGGGAGGAGGGGAGACCAGAGAGGAGGGGAGACCAGAGTGGAGGGGAGACCAGGGAGGAGGGGAGACCGGGGAGGAGGGGAGACTGGGGAGTAGGGGAGTCCGGGGAGGAGGGGAGACCAGAGAGGAGGGGGAGACCGGGGAGGAGGGGAGACCAGGGAGGGGGGGAGACCAGAGAGGAGGGGAGACCGGGGAGGAGGGGAGTCTGGGGAGGAGGGGAGACTGGGGAGGAGGGGAGACCGGGGAGGAGGGGAGACCGGGGAGGAGGGAGTTAAGAGTCGTCCAGCCGAGAGGTGACAAAGGCACGGACAGGCAGAGGAGGAGGAGGACAGGCAATGGAGGAGGAGGATGAGGAGGAGGACAGGCGGCGGAGGAGGGGGACAGGGTTGGAGGAGGGGGATGGTTGGAGGAGGAGGACAGGCGGTGGAGGAGGGGGACAGGGTTGGAGGAGGGGGACAGGTTTGGAGGAGGAGGACAGGCGGTGGAGGAGGGGGACAGGCAGTGGAGGAGGGGGACAGGCGTTGGAGGAGGAGGACAGGCGGTGGAGGAGGGGGACAGGGTTGGAGGAGGAGGACAGGCGGTGGAGGAGGGGGACAGGCGGTGGAGGAGGGGGACATGCGGTGGAGGAGGGGGACAGGCGGTGGAGAAGGGTGTGGAGGGAGAGGTTTGGCACCAAGTTGGTTGGCAACAAGATATTGCAGACCTTTGGCCGGGATAAACACTGTCTCATACACAAGGTTATATCGTGTTATGTCACTCCACTCGGTACGAGCATCAGTGTAAACCTTAAACACCATCATAAAGATTAACCTTCTGCCTCTCTGCTATCACAAACTCCTCCTTAAATTACACCAAACTGCAACCAAGGGTCGGTTTGTCCAAGGATTCGAAAGTGATATCGCTGGTCATACGAGAAAGAGAGAGACGTGGGCTTTACAGAAGGGAGATACAGCCATTCGTTCCCTCGGTCTCTCTCTTGTACCGTGCGTTCAGACTGTGAGACATCTTCAGTCGGGTAAGAACCTAATCCTTTTCTTTATCTTGATTATCTGATGAAACAACAGCAACAACTTACACAGCGGGCAGCGGCCCGGAGCACTTGACGATGGCGGAGCAACACTTTGAGCCGTGGGGGTGGGGGGGGGGGCAAGTTTCCTTACTCCACACACAGACACACACATACAGACTCGCGCACACAGACTCGCGCACACACACACGCGCACACACACACGCGTGCGCGCGCCTCTGTTAACCAGGAGTACATAGGAACCCGCTTGTTAGACGATTGGCGGATTGCTCTCCGGGGTAATAATCTCGTATCAAATGATTAAGGATTATTTTTGTTTTATAATCATTATGATTAACTATCTCTCGGCAGGAATCTGATTCCGACAATTAACAAAGTATTCTCGTAATCACTTGTTCTCACACCAACCACTGAATTAACATTGAAGAACACTAAATAGTAATGAAGGGCACTATACAAATGGCATTTTGTATTTTGTTGTGAAGCAGCTCACAAGAGTATCGCCTCTCAAGCCCTTTAACTGTGCTTAAACCAGTCACGCATCACATTCCTAACTCACAGCCCTCACCCGTTCAAAGAGAAGAATGAAGATCTTTCTGTGTCTCCTCTCGTTCTGTGCAGTCGTCCTGCAAGGTACAGTCATGTTTTCCTACCAAAGACATTACTTGCATTCACTCTGTGCCAACATTTTGGTGCTGTTCTAAGAACGTAGGGGTTATAATTATAATAATAATAATAATAATAATCCTTGCATTTGATACAGCGCTTTTCAAGTCTTCTTGACGTCTCAAAGCTCTTCGCAGAATAGACTGTAAAGTGAATTGATTGCATATTTGTGGGTACCCCTCGCCTCGCAAGACAGAGGACCTGGGTTCAATTCCCGGACAGGGCGAAACCTTAGGCAAGTTTCCTTACTCCCCCTCTCCCCCACCCCTCCCACACACACACACACACACACAGAGACACACATACACACAAACACACATACACAGACACACACACACCTGTGTTCCCAGCAGACAGCAAGAACCCGCATGTCAGTCGATTGAGGGATCACTTTTCGGGGGTAATAATCCCTTCAAAACAATAATAATTTGGTCACTTCAACCCCCGGCTGTTTGTGGGGACGTCGCCGGGCGCAATTGGCTGCCACGTTTTGCCCACAAAACACACAGTCACTACACTTTGAGACGTCTCAGCGATGGGATAAGGCGCTGTATCAAATGCAGATTATTATTGTTAACGTCACACGTGTAACTTGTGATTGTTTTGTTTGTCGCAGCGCTGGGCAAAGCAAAGACATCCTGCAACACTTCATCGATGATTTGCGCACAGCAACACTTTTTCTGTATACAATGACGTCTCAAAGCACTTCACAGAATACACTGGAAAGTGACTTCACTGTGTATTTTGTGGGTGATATATTTACTTCAAGTTCGGAGAGTACAAAGGCCACACTAATTGATTGCAAAAGCACTATAAAATGTGGGCTATAGAATTAAAGGTTTGTTTCCGGGAAGATAGAGGGTCAATGTCTAGTCCTGTGCGGAGGTGTGGTCTCCCAGGTTCGATTCTCGGGCGGGGGCGAGATCATTTTTTGTTGTTGTTGCACGACAAATTGCTGGGCGCAATTGGCTGCCGTGTTTCACCCACAAAACACACAGTCACTACACTTTACATTGTTTCCTGTGAAGCGCTTTGAGACGTCTCGAAGACGTGATCAGGCGGTGGGTCAAATGCAAGGGTTATTATTATTATCCATCCATCTGTCTGTCTGTCTGTCTGTCTGACTCACCGTCTATCGGTCTGTCTGACTCTCCATCTGTCGGTCTGTCTTACTCTCCGTCTGTCGGTCGGTCTGTCTCGCTGTCTCTCCATATATTCTGCCTGTCACAGTATATATTGTGAAGTCCTTTGGGATGTCTCAGCGACGTGATAAGGTGCGATATCAGATGGAAGGATTATTATGATTATTATTTCCCGATAATAAATGTTGTTTTTCAGTACACTCACTTAAATGTTATTCCTGTGAAAATACTGCATCTGGCTGTAACCATACGTGCAGCTCTGAGGACATTTGCTCTAAAGATACTACAAAAACTTGGTTTGTAAGTAAAACATTATAACATTCCGGGTCCTGCAGTAACTGTCTTACTTCACAACCTCGATCTCTCCGCTGCCTTTGACACCATCGACCGCTCTATCCTCATCCACCGCCTCTCCTCTCACCTCAACCTCCACGGCTCTGTCCTTGACTGGTTCAGATCGTACCTCTCACACCGCCTGCACTTCCATCTCCACAAACGGCTTCTCCTCCAGGCCCCGCACCGTCTCGTGTGGCGTTCCTCAGGGCTCTGTCCTCGGTTCCCTCCTCTTCAATATCTATGCTCCCTCTTGGTGATATCATCCGCAGACATGGGGTCAACTTCCACATGTACGTTGACACCCAACTCTCTCTCTCTCTCTGCCTCCAGCCTCGACTCCAGGACCCATTGCTGTCCTCACAGAATGTCTGTCAGACGTCAAGTCCTGGATGAGAGCAAACTTTCTACAGTTGAACGTCAACAAGACTGAGGCTCCTGATTAGCTCCTCCTCACCTCAGGCGCTGAGAGCATCACCATCCATGGTTGCTCGCTCCCCCTTGCTAAGCCAGACAAGAACCTCTTGTTTGACCCCCAACTATCCTTTCTTCCCCATATCTGCGCCATGACCCGCTCTGCCTTCCCCCACCTCCGCAACCTCGCCCGGCTCCACCACTGCATTCATCACATCCAGGCTTCTCTGCACCAACTCTCTGCTTGTGTCCAACTCTATCATAGACCAACGCTCTGAGGCGCTATCCTTTGTGAAAAGCGCTGTAACAATGCAAGTTGTTGTTGGGTATGGGACACCGGGTTACCTTATCTGTGTCCTTCACGCTTCAATAAGATCTTGCAAGAGCCTGGAGTGACCTAGTCACAGCTACAATACTTACTGTGACTGTTTGTGTTTAGACTCAGACGGGAATCGAAGACGGACTTAAAAGCTGGGGTTGCATCCCAAATGAGTATTGTTTTGGACATGTATTGCTTCAGACAAAGTTAAAGGTTGGAATCACTAAACGTGAATGTTGCCAAACTGAACTCTGCAACAAAGGCGTCATAACAGGTAAGGGGTTCGTTCGTCAGCTAAGGGTTAGAGCACTCACCTCGCAAGCGAGAGGACCTGGGTTCGATTCCCGGGAGAAACCGTAGGCAAGTTTCCTTACTTCACACACACACACACACACACCTCTTTTTTACCAGCGGTGAGAAGGAAATCGTTCACCAGTTGATTGACGGATCACTTTTCTGGGTGTAATAATCTCTTTTAAAAAATAGTAATAATTTGGTGACTTCGATACACGACTGTTTGTGGGGACGTCGCTGGGCGCAATTGGCTGCCGCGTTTCGCCCACAAAACTCACAGTCACTACACTTTGAGGCGTCTCAGTGACGCGATAAGGCGCTGTATCAAATGCACGTTATTGTTAATGCCACATGTGGTAACATCTGGGACACTGCTGTGTGTTTCATGGAGAGCGTCAGCAAACACACGATAGGGGGGGAATGGGGTTAGAGTAGAGCGAGAGAGGGGAATGGGGTTAGAGAAGGAACTCAGCATTTGTTTGATTTTCCAGTGGTGATCCCTGATAAAAAGAATGGTTTGAGGTGTTGGTCGTGCGACAATGACAATGGGGAAAACTGTGCAGAACCGACAATAACGATTGATTGTGTTGACATTGGAACTCGATGCTTTACTTTGTACAGCAATTCAAGTGAGTGAAATCTCCATTACACCCTCACTCCCCCTCATCCGAACCCGGGTTCTCTCACACAAACCACAACACTACAGGGACACCACTGTAGGACTATCCTTTCTCCCCGGGGAGAAACCTGAGGCAAGTTTCCTTGCTCCACACACACACAGACAGACACACACACACACACACACACTCACACACAGACACAGACACACACACTCAAGACACACACAGACACACGCAGACACACACACACTCAGACGCAGACACACACACACAGACACACTCAGACACACACAGACACACACACAGACACACTCACACTCAGACACACGCACACACATTCAGACACAGACACACACACGCACACACATTCAGACACACACACACACAGACACAGACACACACACTCAGACACACACAGACACACACACACTCAGACATAGACACACACACACAGACACACACACACTCAGACACAGACCCACACACACACACACACACAGATGCCTGTGTTTCCCAGTGGGTGCTTGTCACTCGATTGGGGTAATAATCCCTTCAAAACAATAAATATTCGGTCACTTCAACCCCCGGCTGTTTGTGGGGACGTCACCGGGCGCGATCGGCTGCCGCGTTTGGCCCCCAAAACACACAGTCACCACACTTTGTTCTGTGAAGCGCTTTGAGACGTCTGGAAGACGTGATCAGGCGCCGGGGGGTCAAAAAATGCCAAGGTTATTATTATTATTCATTATATTAATGCATGTGGTTATTGTTTTGTGCCAAACAGCTGGAATAGAGCAATTCATGCGAGGCTGTGCCTCTCCCAGTTATTGTAGCATAGACCCTGAAATTGGAACGGATTTCACCTGCTGCGGAAAAGATCTTTGCAACGCAAGTCAGAATGTACGCGCCACGATCGGCACCGTGTGGCTCGCTGTCCTGAGTCTGTGGCTCTTCTGAAGGAAGGAAGAAAGGAAGGCAAGATTCCCTGCGGCACGCACAATAATCATAGAATCATAGAATCATAGATTCATAGAATCATAGAATCATAGAATCATACAATTATACAATTATACAATTATACAATTATGCAATTATACAATTATACAATTATACAATTATACAGCACAGGAGGAGGTCATTTGTCCCATCGTGTCTGTAATCACTTTTTGAAAAGAACTTCCAAATCAACCCCACTCCCCCCTCTCTCTCTTTCTCTCTCCCCATAGCCCTGATCAACCCCACTCCACCCGCTCTCTCCCCATAGCTCTGATCAACCCCACTCCACCCCTCTCTCCCCATTGCCCTGATCAACCCCACTCCCCCGCGATCTCTCCCCATAGCCCTGATCCACCCCACTCCCCCCACTCTCCCCATAGCCCTGATCCAACCCACTCCCCCGCTCTCTCCCCATAGCCCTGATCAATCCCACTCCACCGCTCTCTCCCCATAGCCCTGATCAACCCCACTCCCCCGCTCTCTCCCCATAGCCCTGATCCACCCCACTCCCCCGCTCTCTCCCCATAGCCCTGATCCACCCCACTCCCCCGCTCTCTCCCCATAGCCCTGATCCACCCCACTCCCCCGCTCTCTCCCCATAGCCCTGATCCACCCCACTCCCCCGCTCTCTCCCCATAGCCCCCCTCACTCCCCCCAGCTTAATCAAACCCAGGTCCTCTCACTTGCGAGGCGAGGGCTCTAACCACTGAGCTACAGGACTCCATGTGGGGGTAATAGAGGGATAAGATCAGACCGGCTGAAGATCTTCCTTCATCAGAACCAATCTTGTGATTGTGATATAAACTCTGTTGTGTAAGGAATTTTCTCACCTCATGTGGGATGGAGATTTGCTAATTAGGAGTTTACAATCGTGTAGTAAAAAAACAAATGAATTCAGCAAAAGTAAATTGTTTCTATTCATTTTGTGTCCCTTAAAATCTATACAATCCCTTTTTTGTCATCACTGAAATGTCTCAAAGCACTTCGCAGGAATTATAATAATAATAATAACAATAATCGTGCATTTGACACAGCGCCTTATATCTTTGAGACATCTCAAAGTGCTTCACAGGATATACTGTAAAGTGTAGTGACTGTGTCTTTTGTGGGCCGAATTCGGCAGCGTTGTCCCCACAAACATCATGGATTGAGTGACCAAATTATTATTTTTTAATATTTTTTGTTGAAGGGATTATTACCCCCGGAAAAAAACGATCCGACAATCGTTGGGGGCGAAGTAACCAGGGTCCCCTTGGAGCTGAACTGGCCCCAAGGTGACATGTTTGGCATCTGTGACGGTCTCTAGTCGGGTTCCTGAGCCAGGAGGGACCTCAGTATCCCTGGGGGCTCACTGCTGATGACAGCACGGCCCGGCCTGGCTCATCGGCAGGACCTGGGGCCGACCAGTCACTGGGGGCCGGGAATCCTCCCCCTCAGCTCCTTTAACCCCACAGCCGAAGCCCTAACTAACGGGGAGGGTGGTCCTCGCTGGACAAGCAGCGGGAAAGTTTGGCCAAACAACTTAACGTCTAAAAAAAAAATTCCCCTGAACATAGAACTCTCTGCAACATTATTAATCAAACCTCCTTTCACACAGAACAAATGACTCAAAGTACATGGGAACAGAAAATTGTTTGGTAATAAATTGTTATTGCTGTGCAAACAGAGTAGCTAATCAGTGCCAGCTTTATCCCGATGCCAACTGGTGGTTTAATACTAATAATAATAATAAACCTTAATACTGTGCCTTATCACTATAAAGTGAATTAAGTTGGCTCTCGCTCAACTCGACTAACATCCAACTTGGAGTCCTGTAGCTCAGTGGTTAGAGCCCTCGCCTCGCAAGCGAGGGACCCGGGTTCGATTCCCAACAGGGCCAAATGTTGGGCAAGTTTCCACACTCCCCACACACACACACTCCCACACACACACACACACGCCTCTGTTTACCAGCAGTCAGTAGGAAAGCGCTTGTCGTCGATTGCCGTATTGTTTTCCGGGGGTAGTAATCCCTTCCAAAAAGAAAAATGCTAATAATTTGGTCGCTCAGTCCACGCCTGTTTGTGGGGACGTCGCTGGGCACAATGCCAGGATTATTATTTATTATCAACTTAAAGGCTCGGAGCTCAGTGAGTTAGGAATGTCTCGAGTTAATCACTGTTCAGCTCAAAGGTTTCAGCTGGTTGGAAGCAGTGATTTCTTGTGAATGTGAAACCCATTAAGCGACTCGCTCACTCATAAAGCTGGCTTGATGACTGAGATTCCTGCAGCTAGCTCGCCGGTTAATAGCCTGTGGCTGAGTGGGAATAGGAGAATATAATACAATACACCACAAAATTATATTTCCATAGCGCCTTTCATGTCAGGAGGACGTCCCAAGGCGCTGGACATTCAGGGAGTCAGGGAACCCACTGCCTTTCACACAGGAATCCCTATTCCATTTATAATAATAATAATAATAATAATCCTGGTATTTGATTGAGACATCTCAAAGCGCTTCACAGTGATTTGTACAGTGATTTGACTGTGTATTTTGTGGGTGAAACGCGGCAGCCAATTGCGCACAGCGACGTCCCGTAAACAGCCGTGGATTGAAAGTGACTGATTTTATTATTGTGTCTTTTTTTCTTGAGGGATTATTATCAGGCGTGTGGAGTAAGGAAACTTGCCCAAGGTTTCGACCTGACCTGCCGGGAAGAGGGGAAAGTGATCCCAAGAAGGTTAACAGAGCCATTCTGAGCACAACAGTCAATTGGAGTGAGAGGATACTTTAATTTTGCAACAGAAGGGTAGGTTTAGGACAGACGTGTTTAAGGATAGACGTATTTCTTTGCACAGACGAGGTTCACCCAGAAATGAGAAGGATGGTTGTAACAAGAACAATTTGCATTGCGTCCACAAAACACACAGTCACTACACTTTACTGTGTATCCTGTGAAGCTCTTTGAGACGTCTCAAAGACGTGATAAGGCGCTGGGTCAAACTGGGTCAAAATTATTATTAATCATGAAGGTGACTTTATAAAAAATAATAATAATAATCCTGGAATTTGACCGGGCGCCTTATCACGTCTTCGAGACGTCTCAAAGCGCTTCACAGAATATACTATAAAGTGTAGTGACTGTGTGTTTTGTGGACGAGCCGCAGCAGCCAATTGTGCCCAGCGATGTCCCCACAAACAGCCGTGGGTTGGGTGACCAAATTATTATTGTTGTTACTATTATTTTTATTACATACCTTTTTACTTTTATTGGGGTTCGAAAAAAGGCGACTGTAGGTACAGTCGAAATGAAGGTCTCGATGTATGATCTGAAAATGGGCAAAGAGGGGTACATGGTGCGAGGAGAGGGGTACATGGTGCGAGGAGAGGGGTACATGGTGCGAGGAGAGGGGTACATGGTGCGAGGAGAGGGGTACATGGTGCGAGGAGAGGGGCACATGGTGCGAGGAGAGGGGCACACGGTGCGAGGAGAGGGGCACATGGTGCGAGGAGAGGGGCACATGGTGCGAGGCGAGGGGTACATGGTGCGAGGAGAGGGGCACATGGTGCGAGGAGAGGGGCACATGGTGCGAGGAGAGGGGTACAGGCAAAGAGTAACAGAAGTTTTGGCAATCACAAGCCTGTTTCATGTCAACAACAACAACAACAACAACACTTTGCGCCCTCAATATAACACCCTCCACACAGGGTAGGGTTCGAGCGCTTAACAGTGGGGAAGCCTGACTGACTCCGAGCCAGGGGTGGGGTGGGGGGGTTGGGGGTGGTGGTGGGTGGGGGGGTGGTGGGTGGGGGGAAGGCGTGGGTGGAGGTGACTGTAATCACGGTCAAAGGGGAAGGGTTTCAGGCGGGACTTGAAAGAGGGGAGAGAGGGGGAAGGCGGAGGGACTGAGGGAGAGCGTTGCAGAGTTTCCGGGGGTAGTGGCTGAAAGCGCGACCTCCGATGGTGGGGGCGGGGGGGTGGGGGGGCGCGAGGGACAAGCAGGAGCTGCTGCCAGTCGAGCGGGTGGTGGATTGGGGAGTGAGGAGGTCGGAGAGGGAGGGAGGGAGGTGTCAGGGAGTGATGGGATTTGAACACGAGAGGAACTTGAAGTCGATCCGTTTGGTGGCGGGGAGTCAGTGGAGCCTGGGCCAGAGCCGGTCAGACTCCCCCCAACGCCCCCCCCCCCCCCCCCGTTGTACGCGGCGGTCTAGCCTTTTGCCTTTCTGTCCCCCATAGTCTGGAACTCTGTCTCAGCCGCTCTTCAACTGCCGGTCGCTTGTCCCGCGCTCCCTACGTCCCATCATGTCATTTTCTAAAAGAAATATAAAAAATAAGATCATAAGAGAGGTCATAACAATAATAATAATCCCCGCATCTGACCCGGCGCCTGATCACGTCTTCGAGACGTCTCAAAGCGCTTTAGAGAATATACTGTAAAATGTAGTGACTGTGTGTTTTGTGAGTGAAACGCGACAGCCGATCGCGCCCAGCGACGTCCCCACAAACAGCCGGGGGTTGAAGTGACCAAATTCTTATTATTTTAAAGGGATTATTATCCCCGGAAAGTGATCCCCCAATCGACTGACAAACGGGTTCCTGCTGACTGCCGGGAACACAGGAGCGTGTGTGTCTGTGTGTGTATTTGTGTGTGTGCAGTAAGGAACGGGATGATGGGGTTTCACCCAACGTTTCACCCTGACCTGACCCACCCGGGAATCGAACCCGGGTCCTCTCGCTTACGAGACCCCTGAGCTACAGGGGCTGTGGGGTGCGAGGCGAGGGGTCTAAACCCTGAGCTACAGAGGCTGTGGGGTGCGAGGCGAGGGGTCTAAACCCTGAGCTACAGGGGCTGTGGGGTGCGAGGGGAGGGGTCTAACCCCTGAGCTACAGGAGCTGTGGCTTGTGAGGCGAGGAGGGGTCTAACCCCTGAGCTAAAGGACTCCCCAAAATGACAAGTGGTCACATTGAGTCCTTGACCTGTG